TGCTGTGCTCCACGAGCAGCGGGTGCATCCGACCCACGGCATTTCGCTGCCAGCCCAACGGAGCCGCATCCTGCTGGAGCCGGGCCAGAGCCATGGGCTGGACCAGCCATCTCGGAAGAAATCATCAGCAGAAAGCCACACCTGATGAATTTGGGTTTTTTGACTTCTAACTTTGGCTAGAAAAGAAGCGCTTCTTACTTTGTTGTATCAAAATCACACTTTTCTTGAGGGAAAAGTACAGAAAAGACAGAGCACTTTGGTTTCCCTGTGAAGGAAGCTCAGGAAGATCTGCTGGGATGAAGCCCTCCAGATGTGGGAAGAAATGGGTGAAAGGAAAAGAGAAGGTGCTTTGAACATCTTCCTTCAAGGATACTAAGATATCATCACAATATTCTTTGAAATCCCTCAGAACTGAACCAGAGGCACTACTGAGATGTTTTGAAAGCCATTTTGATCCTGGATCAGTAAGGTAGGTTGTACAGCCTGGCACACAGTGGGGACACAGGGAGGTGGAGTGATGTGTTTACAGATACCTTGTCACTCAGGAGTGGAAAAAGAAATGTGCAAATTTAATTCTGATCAGAATTTTAAACCATGAAAACTTACTACTTTTTGTACTTAGACTATTGACCTGAGGGCAATAAGGGACACTTGCATCTGATACCAGGTCCTGCTCTCTGATGTGTCTTTATAACTCAGCTAGTTATTTCTAGCTGCCCATGTAAAACACACCTACTTAAAAATCACCTGATTTATTTTCAAATATTATTTACAAAAAATGCCAGTTCTGCACATGGTTTTCTGAGGTACTTCAATCCCATGCCAACATTTAACATAAAAGACTCCACGGATCAGGACTTTAGCCTGTTCTTGCAATTTTCTGACACTGTCCCGCAAGAGAGAACAAATATATCAGGTGTCCTACTTGAAAGTCAACAGCTTGACACCACTGCATCTTGTGCTGCTCCTTATGGTGATGGACAACTAAGAATGGCTTAAAAATACAAAGCAAACAGCAAGAGTAAGTGGTTTCAAAATCAATACAAGAACGATCAAGTAGCAGAAGAGTACTTGTTATCAGTTCATCAAAATGATGTGAAAAGACATTCTGTGCATTCAGAATTTAATTTAGCTACTTGCTTTATCATCATAAACACTCATTTCAATATGGGCAATGATTATTTTTTCTTCCCAAACATGAATAATATATAATTGCTGGTATTTTGGAGGAGACAAGGTCTTTACCTTTATCCATCAGGGTAATTTATCATTGTCTTTCTTTTTCTTCTGCAGTGGTGAGAGAGCTTGTCAGCTCAGCTTGTTCTTAAAAAGCTGGAGTGTAATTCAATAATAAATTCACTCAAAGGCTAGCTGTCACGAAGCATTCATTTATTTGTATCCATTAGGTGATCTGCACTGCTGTTCTCTCTAAAGGGTAGCTAAGCTGCATTTCTGAAACCCAAGAAATATATTGCATAGGTATTCAGTCGTCTCCTTCTGCGTGGGCCATAGAGGAATGCAAACGTGCTGTGGTTCCCCCAGGGGTGGGAATCAGCCAGCCATGACCTGGTAAAGCCTCAAGGAGTGGGCTGTGGTGGCTGACCTGGATGATGAGTGTGCCTGTGCCACAGGTGTCTCTGCAGGACATCAGACATGCAGGACACAGAGCTCCACATCACCTCGGTGTTGCCTGTTTAACGGACTGCTCACAGCAAGTGGCATGGATCCAACTCCAGTCCTACCCCATGAGGATGATGGTGCTGTGACAGACAGGTGTAGGACTTCCCATGCCCAGCAATCTACAGTCCTGATCTACAGCAAGGAGACAACTTCATGAATCACAGCGGCAGCAACAGAAGGGAGAGGATTGAGCTAAGGCGGGATGCTGGAGCCCTCCATCGGAACAAAAAGATTTCCTGCCCTCCCTCCTGTTGGACAAGAGGGATATTATCACCTGTCTGTTGTGAAAGCAACTGGAGGAGATTCAACAGTGAGAACGCTACTGAAGAAAGGGCATATCCGCGTGTACAAATACAGTCAGTCTCACTTGCCCAGAGTACGTGGGTCCCAAACGGTCCCAGCCCGTGCTCCTTCATGGAGCAGTCACTATCTGACCACTGCAATTTCCAGGGTGACAAGAGACAGCTGCTTAAAGCTTCAGCCTTCTAGGTGGTGAAAACAGACAATTGAAACTACAAAGGGAAGCCAAGTAAGCAGAAAACACTTGTAATGGTTGAGTTTATCCCAATCTATAGGATCTTTAAGAACTAACAGGAATGCATGATGTCTTTTAAGGTCCCAAAAGAGTAATGGCATTTTTAGCAACCCGACAGACCGATAAGCCTGGACTGTGTGCTGTGGTGCTGTCTCAGGGGAAAATATACCTTCTGTTGAGGTCCTTCGCTGTTACTTGCAATCACTCCTGTGATGAGTCAAGATATTTAACTTGAGAGATGCAATAAAACCACAGCTTGAGGTGACATATTTGTAGACCGTATTTAGTAATACACATCCTATGCTGATATTTTAAAAATGGCAACCTCATAAATCATCGCTATCTCTGTATAATTCTTTGTGTTAACTTAAATGGAACAAAGAGCCCCATTTATTAGTTAATGAAAAGCAATCATTAAAACCCTTCCTATTGATTTGAATCTTTTCATTCCCTCACTCTAGTAATCTATTCTAGTAGGTGCTCCTTTTGAATCCCGAATCTTCCTTTAGCAGGACGTCTACAGATGGTTACAGAGAGATCTACCATCAGATCTGTGAAACACATGTAACTCTTGTAGGAGTTTATGTGGCCCTAAATGACACAGTCCTTCTGCTGCTCCGCTGCTGGCATTCCCAGGAACAAATTCACTGCATAAATGAGAAATTCCTATTATTTCCCCCCACCTCTGTGTGCAGCTGAATGCAAGCAGCCTTTAAAGAGAAGTTGCAAATTTTTTTTACCACACATGTATGAAGACTACTACAGTTCTTTAGTTGTATGGAAAAGTTCATTAAACATGGACATGTGTCTACCAAAACCCTCTACCTATCAGAACAGATACACATGGACCCGATACCAGAGTCCTCTGTGGAAAGGCTTCTGAGTCTGAGCTCAGCTGAGGAATTGCAACCCTAAAGATATCAGAAAAATGAAATTATGAGTATAATCTATTTTATATTCCAAGGCCTGATTTTACAGCAACAAATCACAACAACTGAAAGCAGAGAATTCACTGTGCTAACATTTAGCCCAGAGCTTGGACTGTTCAGTATCCAGAACTTGCAATATTCAGAATGCTGACGAAGTACAACAGTTTGTGACATAATGAGTGTTTGGCCTTAGTGTGAATCACCGTTGTCAGCTTTCTTGGACTCTGAAGGGCTTGGCAGCAAGACAAATCAGGGAAAATATCGCATCAGGCCAACTCCCTGACACTGGTATGCTACTAAGTGGTTCATGTCTGAGGTCAGCCTGTAGACCACCGGAGACAGCGGTACATGGGATGTGGTACCCGAGGGATGCTGGCGATGTCCCTTCATGGAAGAGCATTAGGTCGGACCCAGAAGGGCCTGAGAGGCCTGCTGAGATGCAAGTGCTGAAATAAATACCCGCAGAAACACGAGAATTGTATATTTTCAGTGCCAACCTATTCACTGCTGTGTGTGGGAAAACTGAAAGTAAGCAGTTAATGACTGGGTGGAATTCAACGGAGTCCAAACCTAAGTGTTGAGAACCACCTCCTGGCTCAGGGTCACCACTTCTGAAAGACAACATTCAGGGCAGACACTGAACGGTCTAAGAATCTGACACCCCAGGGTATGTATTACAGTGTCCTGCTGTAAGCACATGATTTTAAAGGGACGACCTCCCCTGACAGCCAGGCACGTACTTAAACAAATGGCTGAGATGCAGTCACAGCATTGAACTGTGTAAGATTTCTTTACCAGTTCCTGTTTCTTGATGAAGACTGCAGTGATAAAGAATGTCTCACTATTAAAACCAATCTGTATTCAAGTTGATTGTTTATATTGGAAATCACTTGAATAGCCCCCCCTAGACTGTAAGAGTTTCTTCAGTTATAGAATCACAGAATGGTTTGGGTTGGAAGGGACCTTAAAGGTCATCTAGTTCCAACGCCCTGCCATGGGCAGGGACACCTTCCACTAGACCAGGTTGCTCAAAGCCCTGTCCAACCTGGCCTTGAACACTTCCAGGGATGGGGCATCCACAGCTTCTCTGGGCAACCTGTGCCAGTGCCTCACCACCCTCAGAGTGAAGAATTTCTTCCTTACGTCTAATCTGAATCTGCCCTCTTTCAGTTTAAAGCCCTTACCCCTTGTCCTATCACTACAGGCCCTTGTAAAAAGCCTCTTTCCAGCTTTCTTGTTGGCCCCTTCCAGGTACTGGAAGGCTGCTGTAACATCTCCCCAGAGCCTTCTCCAGGCTGAACAACCCCAACTCTCTCAGTCTGTCTTCATAGGAGAGGTGCTCCAGCCCTCTGATAATCTTCGTGGCCCTCCTCTGGACTCGCTTTAACAGGTCCATGTCCTTCTTATGCTGGAGGCCCCAGAGCTGAATGCAGTTCTTTTGAGGTCTCTAATAGTCAGACTATAGACTGTAAATACTATTCTAGTTTCTCTCTTTTTTGGCTCTGTCAATGGAAAAAGGTCTGCCATTGCTGTTTACGAGATACTTCTGGATAATGTCAGTCACTTGAACTAGAAGAGCCCTGCTGGACGAATGGCTTTCACTCCTTGAAATAAGAGAAGGCAGGAAAGATGCAACTGCCCCTTTGAGTTGGGAGAGAAGCATCTTGTCTTACTGGCTGGCAGGACACGGCGGATGAGGAGACAGTCAGCAGAATTACATCAGCCACAAAATTCTTCAGATATCTACTTCCCTTAGACTGCTTCTGTGTTCTGCATCTTGCTGTCCTACCATGTCTTAAAATGGCCAAGTGGCTTACGCTTTACCTCTTACTGAATCAAAACCAAAATTCACTCACCCTCCTTCAAAAGGATTATCTCCAGGGATGACATGAGTGCTGTCCTTGCCGATCAGGAACTTGATCCGATCGTAGAACGAATGCAAGCTCTGCTGGGAGATGGGAGCTTGCGTCTCCTGGATGATATCCAGGGGGTCTGGGGAGCCCAGGCACAGCGCATTGACGTGGCACAGTGGCTGCAAGCAGCAGTCTGGGTCCATGCAATCCACCAGGCCATCTGCAGAGGGGTAAGGAAGATTTTAGAGCAATGGTAACATGGAGTGTTGTAGACTTCAGGGTGCAAGAACTCTTTCCAATGCACTCAACAGAGAAATGTGAATTTACACCTACATAGAGTAAGGCATGTTCCCTTAAAGCCCCAAATATGCATTAATATGTAACATTAATATGCATTAATATGTAATATATGAAAACACACACACACACATGAGGTTAGACCCCCAAAAAAGCATCTTTGAGGTTAATTCTAGGATATGCCATTTTACATCTCAGTCGCTCAGATAACTCCAGAGCTCCAAAAGGTGTTTTTTTTCCTGTGAATATACCAATGACTTTTGTTCAGTGGTCCTGTTCCCTGTGCAAATCACAGGCACATTGCATCACACCAAACAGCAGGAGTAAATAGTGAATAAAGCCATGGTATCTACCATGGCTACAGAGGGATCCATACATGCAGCCCACTAAAGATTCTGGCTAGATAGATGAGAAAGTAAGGGAGATTTTGCTGGGAAGGTTCGGTCTCTTTTGGCCTTTGTCACATTTATTCCATGCAGACACTGAGTAATGGATGACCTCAAACTCTCAGGATACAAATCTTGTATTTTCAGCACCACTAAATTAATAATAACAACAATAATAGCAGTGGACACACATGAGAAAAGCTTGCCAAGCGTACTCTAGTAAAATGAGGGTTTGCATATCTGTCAAGTCATCAAAGGCACAGACAGTACTACGTCCCCTCCCACCGCCACAGCAGCATTCCCCAGCTCACTTTGAGATGCCACTGTTCATTGCAAACAGCTTAGTAAAAAGCGGTGACAGGAAAGGAAATACAACAAAAGCTCAGAAAAGGTTTGATGAAGCATCACATTTAGAAATAAAAGTTGTTAGCATGTAGTAGAGATGGCTCTTTAAATCAGATAAGGGAACTGGATGTTTATGTTCTGGGGTAATGGGATATAGAGCCCTTCGCTTCCGACTCATCAGTTCAAGCAAGACAGTTTGATAGTGAATGAAAATTCTTGCCATGTGATGGCTGTTAAAAGACCTACATGAAATGAGTGGTTGGTCTCAGTGTAGCTGCTGGGAACTCTATGTATCAGGGAAACCACCTTTACAGCTACCGACTAACGATTTCAGCATAGAGGCAAGAAATGAATGTGCGTGGAGAGCAACACTGCCCTGAGAGGTAGGTCTCCTGAAGTGGGATGAGATTTGGAGTTGCCAGGATAATGTATTTTTTATTTCAAAGAAACAGTAAATTAAAACAAGACACTTTGTCATTATTACAGATTGTGAGCTTCAGTTTCATCCCAGTTATACCAGTATGAATTAGATGTTCTTTCACTAATGTTATTGGCATTACTTTGAATTTACTGTAATATAAATAGGATGAGAATCTGATCTGTTATTATTGCTCTACCACTTAGGATGGCTTAAGTTATGCACTTGGATTCTGTTGAGTTATACCTGTTCCATTCTTGGAAGATTTTAATGCCATAAAACATCACTAGCCACATCATTTCACGCGGTTACCCATACATGGAAAACTGAACAAAAAGCCTGTTCAGCATTCCCAGAGCTTCCAGTCTACGTGTGGGTCAAAGTGGAATGAATATCTGCTCCATGTAGATGTGGACACACACACACACAACGAGTCATTTTCACAAGTGCCCTGCACCTGCCATTAATGATAACGGGAGCAGTGTTAGATTAGCAAAAGTGCTTTTGAAAATCTCATCCATTATCCTTACCTCTCTCTGTTCTGATATCTCTACGTCTTTATAACTCCTTGCAAAATTGCCACAAAAATTTATCAGCTCGGGCACAAAACCTACCCATCTGCCTTTTCTCTTGATGACTAGTGATAATGAAAAAGAACTAATTACGTTTTATTTGCCCATTAAAAAAATGACTTGCTGCAGACGATTAGGCCAGTAGGATTCTGGAAGGTCAAATCTCAGGTGGAGTTTGAGAGACCATTCACAGAATAAAGACCTGCATAGATGTAATATGCTTATCCATAGCTACCTCATAGGAAAAAAGAGACGGAAAAGAAGCAACAAACCAGCCTTGTTACTATATCGACTACAGTTTCAAGCAAGATAAAATGTTGTCATTTTCTCCCACACATTAGTAATGTTTTCTAAGGCTACAGACACTCTGCTGAGAGGACGGCAAACCCGCTGTACCATACCTCTTCATTACCCTGTCTTTATTCCAGGCATCAGAAATGTGTTTTGGGACCTGAAGCTGCAAGATAGCAAGGAAATGTTGTTTTCGCAGGAAACAGTAGATGAATGTTTGAAAAACAGATGCACAGGACAATGTTTTGTACAGGTGGGAATGCTGAGGCCTCATCTGCAGATAAGCCTTTCAACTAACGTGTTTCAGGCCTGTATGGAATAAGTTGGGGGTAATTACACCAGAGAGGTTTGTCACTGACATCTTAAAGTCATTAAGGTCCTCAAGAGCTGAAATGGTGTTTAGCCACTCAACTCCTTCCAATATCAACAGCAGTCTCAGGACAAAGCATTTCTTTCACTTAGAAAATGTAAAGGACTTTTTTGTCTGAGCCACAGAGAACAGCGAGAGTTAAGCTACAAACCAGATCATAAATAGTGATATCTCCATGTGAATATTGTTTTCTTTTGTTTTTTTTTTTCTTTATTGTATGGTCCACAAGTGATCCAAGTGGTGCCCTACAGTGAATTGCAAGGAGTTATAATGAAATTGTACACAGCTATGACTTCTCAGATCTCTCACTGGATCCATCAGAAGAGTGAGGATAAAGTGACATTTGCAAGAAGGTCCCTACCCATGAAGAGCAAGGCATTCAGGGACCTGCATGGATTAATAGAAAATAAAATCAGAGTGAAATAAAACTCACGCTTTAATGGTACAAATAGATAAAAACAAATGTGGGAAGCCAGCACCAGCAGCAAAGGAAAATATAGCAAGGTATGGTCTCACAAAACAATATGAAGTAATAATACAAAACACCTTTGAAATTTATAAATCATAAAGGTGATTTTTCCTTAGAACTCTCTGCAAAATTTTCAGAGAGAAGTAACAGAAGGAAGTGAACGTGGGACCTAGTGGCTTCTGCACCCCAAGTTTTGCAGCAGCAGAGACCCGTGATCCGTGCATGGATTCCTAACTCCGGTAGCTCCCAGAGCACAGATACACAGCACAGTAAGTTCTCAGCTATGGCCATGTTTATACAGCTCTTGGTTTAAAAAAATAGCAGCTCCCATATTCTGCATATAGGTGTAATATGACCATGGCACAGCAGAGAACAAATGTGTTGCTGAATTCTCTCCAAGCAAGGTTCAAAGTCCTGCGCAGAGGGATTACAGTAATTCATATGCTTTAAGGTCAAAGAAGCTAGTATGATCAGCTTGTCTGACCTCTTATATACATACGCTGCTCATTTTTTTCCCCCAGAACTGGATTAAAGCCTGTCTTTTAGAAAGATATCTCATATATCAAAGACAGTTGATTACAGTGAGACCACCACTTCCTCCGGTAAGCTATTCAAATGCTTAATTGCTGCTAGGAAACTGCATCTTATTTCAAGGCTGAATTTGTCTAACTCCAATATCCCGACACTGGAACTTGTTTTGCCTTTTTCTGCAAGGTTACCAATATTTCCTTCTGCCCTGCACGCTCTGATGTCTTTTCCATGTGCAAGTCCCTCCACACAGAGCAACAATCCATTCCAAACCTTTTCTCTGAACAGCTGAGGAAGATTAAACTTCCCATCGTAACGTTTGTTTTCCAGCTGCTGGATTTTTTTTTTTTGTGTGTGGCATCCTTTGATCTCTTTCCAGTAATTTCACATCTTTTGTTACATGTGGGCACCAACACTGGACACAGAATTGTGGCAGCAATATTGGGTACAGAAGAGACACCACTTCCCAACTTTTGGCTTTTTATGCTTCTAAGGTTCACGGTAGCCTTTTAGCAATAGCCTTGCACTGAGAACTCATGTTGAGACGATTATCTCCAGTGACCTCTAAATCCTGTTCTGAGTCATTGCTTTTCAAGAGTCTCCCAGCCCGTAAGTATAACATGCTTTCTTTGTTCCCAGGGGTATTATCTTGCATTTTGCTGCATTAAGACACTTTTTGTTTGATTGTGACCTTGTAGCGATATAAGTCAGATCACTCTGTATCAAAATGATCTGGGTACACTATTTACCACCATACCAAGCTTTAGGTGACCTGAAGATTTTACCAGGAGAGATTTAAACTACATTCTAAGACAATGATGAAAATGCTGAATAGGGTTGGATCCAACAACCAGTCCCACGGGACCTTTCTAGAAAAAGCTTCAATCAGGGATGCCTTTCAATTAACAAATTAATTCGGAGATCTGTCACTGAGTCAGATTTTACGCCACCTCTTGTGTTCCTCAGTATTTCTACATAATACAAGTTTTTACATCTTTGAGACATTTTATGCATCCTATATAGACACAGGTGCTCTAACACCTAGGCTGGCAGTCCTGCCAAAAATAAAACTCTTTTGCCAGCCCTCCTTTGTGTAAAGCCATGAAATAAATACCTTTTGTGATCTCAGAGTTACCAGGGGGTGAATCAAATCCCTGCCTCTGTGAAAAGGGAGCTACTGGCAAGATACTGCCACATCTGGTAAATAATACTATCAATGGGTTGCATCTTTCACTAAGAATCATGTAATCATAGACTAAGTAAGATTGGATGGGACCTCTGGAGGTCACCTTGTAAGTTCCGTCTCGTTCCCTTCAGAGAGGGACAGACATGAAGGAGAATCAACAGGACTCAGCAAAAAAATGTTCCTTTTCTGCCATTTATGATAAAGCAGCTCCAATATATTCAGCTAACATTATTTTTTAGGGGACCAAGTCCACTTTGATCAGATAATCCGCACTCTGTATATCACCAGACAGCAAGTTTTACTTTGGGATTACTGCATCTAGCTCATTTCTTGTAGGTGGAGGTGGAACACTGTTTTT